GTGTGTGTGTGTGTGTGTGTGTGTGTGTGTGTGTGTCTGTCGCCTCTCAGACAGGGATGTGTGGGACGTCACTTCTTCCAGTCTGCTTTCACCTTCGTAAAGGATGTTTGGGGAGTGCCATACATATAACAACTAACACTATTTATTAAAGGCCATTGCACATGACAGTTGGGTGCTGGTGCGTTGGGGGAAGTAATGTCATCTGAAAGCCCCTCTACCAGGCCCTTAACGAGGCCATGAGTCAGACTGGGACACGGAGTGTGTACACATGATGTGCATTTGCGTGAAGAGACTAAACTGTCAACAAGCTGTGAAATAAAATTGGCATCAGCAGCTGAGTTTCCTGCAAGGAAAAGAAGTCTCCTACTAACTGAATGCTTATTTTCACCATCCTCTGGGCTAAAGATTAAGCTCAACACTCTCAATGGTTGAAAGTCATTGTATAGAATTTTAAAGGTTTCATGTGCAAGTTTAAGGGTACAACAGCTATTCCTTTCCAGTGTTTTGAATCTGCACCATCTTTTCTTACGAGTTTAGTAGTTCAGCTATGAAACCACTGTGTGCCTGGTTTTGCACAGGGGAACAGGGTGCAGATTTGGTTGACTGCTGGGGGGGGGGGGGGGGCATCTTTATAAGGATGCTGTACTGCCAGCAGGTGGAGGGTGGGAGATAAATACAGTTGTATCAATGTAAAAACATGGACATGTGACTTCGAGCTCAAAGGTTGGGTAAATAAACTGTCAATAAGTGACATGGGAAACTTGGTACTGTAAGATATTACACATACCTAACAAAGGGCTTGTGTGTAAGTGAGGGGTACCAAGACCCGGACTGGTTTACAGTCGACACAGGAGGACATGACTAGTATCACGGTCAGGGTTATGTGTTTGAGTGAGACCTCCGTGCAGATGGAGCGCCACAGACCACTGGGGGAGCTTCTTAAGTTTTGCATTCAAATTAAACATTTTTGTCTTCATGTTAGACGTTTTATACCATTTCCTTCCACATTTTCAACGTGTACAAAAGACATGATTTACATTTTAAAAACTAAGCTGTATTGTTTTATGTATCAAGAAAATTATAATAAACAACAAAATGGAAAATGTTTTTTTGGGCTTTCAGTCGTTTTAGTATGTGTGCTTATTTAAAACGGTGCAGAAAACGGTTTATATATTGATATCTTCTAAAATTAATTAAAATACCTACTTATATAGTTTGCTCTATTGTAATATCCAATATTTTTGTTCAACATGCCGCCCATTTCCGTCTTCATTAACGTGAGTGGTAATTACTCCTGCTAGGCAGAAGCATTTAATTTACGACTAAAAACAAGAGGTTTGGAATTTAAACACTCATTACAAGAAGAATGTGAAGACCTACGCAGAAATTTAAAAGAGCCCCCGCCGCCTTTGCCTGAAAACTGCAGGTGTTCCGACGAGTTGAGCTACCCATCGAGATGTGCTATCGAGCCTTTCTGCGCATGTGCAGTTCCACCGTTTTGGGATTAGGGTTAGGTTTTAGGGGTTAAGGTTAGAGTAAGGGTTTTAGGGGGGTTAGGGTAAGAGTTAGGGCTATCGATTAGCACTACGGTAGCCTAACTCGACAAAGTAGCTCAACTCGACAGAACACCGACCGGCCGATCGTCTGTGCAGCAGGGTGCGGGGCGCTTTGTGCTTGTTACCGGGACGCGCCACTTTAGACCCCAGATTTTGGCAATGCTCTTTTTAACGACATAACCGCACCTCGAAAAGACTATTCCTTCACATGAATTTTGTACAAAATTATGTGTACGGTTATTACTTGATTTGGAGACAAAGCGAACTCCTCACTTATCGGACCAAGACTTATGAGACCAAACACTTCTGTCTAGAAAATCCGTCCCCTACTTCCGGTCTCTGGTCCATTTTGACTGATGCACTTCCGGTGCACGTTCAAACATGGCAACCTCCCGTCTGGAAATAAATTTTATTAGACTTCTATCTCGGTGTGAATCTATAGCATTGGAGAAGCGGGTGGAAACCGAATGGAGGCTGGAAAAGGTTGGAAACGAGATTTAAATAAATTTAAAGTGCAGATAAAGTGTAATGGAATGGTAAATACATGGATCAGCAGCTGACAGCCACGTCAGATGTATGGAGGCTGATTAATTCACATGTTTCTTAGTATCCGAGGCTCCCATTAATCACAGCGATCACTGATCCCAATGTAACTAAACATTATCGGCTCTTTTTGTCTGCGTTTCCCTGCAGTATGTCGGTGCTCTGGAAGACATGTTGGCCGCCTTAAAGAAAAGTTCGTGGTAAGCCGGCTTCTTCAGACGCCTTTTTGTGGGCACTGTTTATTTGTCAATTGTAATTGTTATTGGGGCAAATGCGATAAAAACCTATATTATTGTCGATAGATAAAGTTGTTTATGCAGTTATTAAGAAAAGGGCATTTATTAAGTGAACAAGAACATAAATACAACTGATGCTATGCATTTCTGTGTAATAGGTTTCGTATAGCGATTCTTTATCTGTTGGCACATCTGAATAATGGTCAGAACAGTTGGACTTCATTGCCTGTAGTTAACGTAGTTAGGGGCCGGTGGATTTATTCGGGTTTATGAGAGACTAACCTGAAAGATAACCCCTAATTAGTTGTCACTGTTCTACCTCCCAGCAAACCTGTAACAGAGGTTCTAACAGACTACAGTCGGAAAGTGGACTTCCTGAAAGGGCTACTGGAAGCTGAGAAACTGGTCAGATTCTTACGCACCTCTTTTTTGTGTAATTTGCTATTAATGTTTTTCTGAAGTCTACTTTTGATGGATCTTCTCTGCGCCCTGTGTTCAGGCGTCCCCGACAGAAAAGGCCGTGGCCAATCAGTTCCTGGCGCCGGGCCGGAACCCCACCATAGCCAGCGAGAGGATGCCGGCCAGTAAGACCGTGCACATGCAAGCTAAGGCCCGCTGCACCGAGGAGATGAGGGGGGAGCTGATGGGTGAGGTGGGTGTCTAAAACGGTATTATTGGAAACACGCGGCCACAGCACCACCTGTTGGTCATTCTGGGCAGAGCAACAACACAGATTCTTGAAGCTGTGATGCATTAGCACCGATATTTTCAGCTGTCACACAAAAGGTATTTCATTGCGGTGTTTTTACATTTTGTTGATTTTTTTGTTCTGTTTGTTCTTGTTCCAGGGCACGACAAAAAAGGGTGAGCTTTTTTTTTCTTCAGACTGCATTTGGAACTGGTTTCAAAAGGGTAAGTGGTGTTATTTTTCAGATTTAGTTTTTGAAGTAGTTTTTTTTTCTCTACAAATTTGCAGGTATTTCTGGAACAGAAGTAAGACATCGAAGGTAAGGATACTAAAACTGTAATGCTTCCTACAGAGACAGCAACACACTTTACCTCCTGGGAGTTAATGGAACAGAACAGGCTAACCCTGTTTTGTGGATAACACCCCAGCAGTTTGCCTCTGGACGAGCGGCAGTCAGCAGCTGAGCTGGACGCCGTCCTGCAGCACCACCACAACTTGCAGGAGAAGCTGGCGGAGGACATGCTGAGCCTGGCCCGTAATCTGAAGAACAACACCCTGGCAGCACAGAGCATCATCAAGCAGGACAACCAGGTCAGTCTGTGGGTGGGGCTTAGGGAGCTGTGCATGCTGGGTAAATGAGAGGCTCTCATGTTACAAATCCTGTCCCCTCCCACCCCCGTCCCTCCAGACACTCACACAGTCCATGAAGCAGGCAGACCTGAACTTCGAGAAGCTGAAGACGGAGTCTGAGCGCCTGGAGCAGCATGCCAAAAAGTCCGTCAACTGGTTCCTGTGGCTCATGCTGGTGCTGGTTTGTTTCACCTTCATCAGCATGATCCTCTTCATCAGGCTTTTCCCTAGGCTCAGATGATGCTCTCCCCCTTCCCCGCCTTGTCATCCGCACTTCCAGGGTACCTTTCAGCTACTTGGGACCCACCCCTGCTTAGCTGGGTCTGGTTTGGTATCTCTCCTAATAACCCAGCTGGCTCTGAATTTGGTCCTGGCCAAATTTGGTCCTCAGCACAGTTCATCTGTGTTCTAACTACATTTTGCCCCACATTTAAGTGTGAGTTGGCTCTGCTTTAATCAGCAGTGACTGTAATTGACCAGCGTGGTGGGGGGTGGTTCTCTACTCCTGTTGCCATGGCTTCCTCGGTCCCCCTGGTATCATTACACTAAATCGCTGTTCCTGAAACCCATGGTAACTGAGCTGGAGATTTGAATGAGAGATGGGTGATTATAGGGGGGTTGATCTGTCCGCTGTGTCAGAGCTGCAGAAGCCTGCAGACAGAACACTGTAATTCTGGCAGTCTCTCTCTCTAAGGTGTCATACATGTTTGTCTGCTGGCTCATTGCACAAACACATGTCCTGCATATTACAGTTGCACATGTAAGCCGGTTTGTGTTTTGTTATATGCAGATTTGTCTGTATTTGTTGGGAAATAGGGGTTTGTCTAAAAGGATGCTTTGGATGTACATCCCCCCAAAACCCTTTTCAACAACAAAGAGACCCCTCCCCAATGTGGAGCCCTGTATCCCATGTTTTATTAAATTACTTCATGACCATGTTGTATGTGCCATTTTCTGGACCTTTGTGATTTCTGTACACCATAGTGTCAGCAATCAATAACTAAACATGACATGACCGCAGACAGACATTTAACGCTGACGTATCGGAGGGTCGTTGGGGATGGAGCTAATCACGTGACCAAGGGTGTTTTTTTGACCACTGCCTGCGTTCTCTGAGTCAATCATAATTATTTTCATCTTTGCTGTTCAAATTACTCCTAGTTGGGTTTGTGTGAAATTCCTAATTTTTGCTTTATAAATACTCCATTATTTATTACAACAATATCACATCACTATGTTCTGAAATTTTCCAGTACCGTGCAGTCTTAGTAGCCTATATTAAATTAAATGCTTTTTAAATTTCTTGTCGTGCCTGCTGATCTTGTTGTGTCTATTTTCAAGACGGCGGTTGTGCTGTGTTTAGAGGCAAAATATTTGCATAACCAATCTAAAAAAAAAGCCTTGCAAGTCCCATCCCAAATTACCGAATTACCAAAAAAGTACCCCAGCTGGATTGGTATTGGTATTTTAGGTACTGGTACCGCACCAGGTACCATACTTTTGGTTCTGTACCTTTTCCATTGATTTCCGGAAAAGGTAAAGAACCAAAAGTATGGTACCTGGTGCGGTGGACTAAGTGAGGTTCTCTGTAGTGGGGACTTCTACGAAGCAAAAGATGCTGACGTTAAGTCCAGACGGCTCCTTCATTTTGATCCCTATAGCCAGGAGCCCTTGGCTCGCAGCCCAGCATGACGCTGAAGTGAACGACTGTACTGAGCAGCCGTCCGCTTCGCTGCTTACAAATCAGCAACATCTGAATTATTTTGGGGGACAAATTACATGTAACTAGTAGTTCTGCTGCAGGCCGGCAGATGGCGCCATATAACAATTAGTGCCGTTTTACGGCTACAGTTGGTTGCAGTAGAATATACTAAAAAGGTAACAGCTATGATTTCACATAAAATTTGTGGAAATATTTGCTTTCAGAACAATATGTTAACTACACAAGATGCTGCATTTCAAACGCTATTTGATATACAGTCAATGTCTATGCTTATATCCAGGCGTGATTCAACGGATGCTCCCGCAGTACACAATCCGCAAACATATTGAAATGACTATGTGGGGAGCCTGCAGTTTATGAAAAACCGGGAATCATTTCAATGACCAGTGAGCAGGAACTTTTTTCTGGTCGACAACCAAGCCTTAGCAATAGTGGGAACTGGAAACGAGTTCATTATGAAGAAATGAACAAAACAAGTCTGTCTTTCCGCCCCAGCAGCCCCGTCTCTGGTGCTGGCTTAGGGCAGCCCCTCGGACTGACCCACCGAGCATTAATTGGACTCCAAATCAGAGGCATCTACAATCCTTATTAGGCCGAAGTCTCATTAGGCTGCGCTGAAAGTAATTACTTTAGAGCTAACCCATGAACCATTCTATACTTTACCCTTATTAGTAGATTTACGGCATTATTTGGTATTGATATTAAATAGTTTACGTCACCCTCATAAAAACCGAAACCGAAAATGCCACAAAGGTGATAAAGCATATAGATGTTTTTATATACGGTGGGTATGAGCAATAAAATTCTCTCATGGAACATCCTATCATAATGTCTAAAGCATGGTTTCAATATGTTGCCCTTAAGCGCTTAAAAATAAAGACTGACTGCGCCCAAGGTACCGCCAAGCCACGGAAATGCGCGGGGTGGTGCCTGTCTGTTGTGCAGGCGTGTGATCTGCGCAGTTCACTGTGCTAGAAGGTCTCACCGATCAGGATGCTCAGCCAAATAGCATCTAGGCGTCCAGAGACCTGAGACTGGCCGTGTCTGTAAGAGACTGGCGCTGAGATCATCCGTTTGCGGTACATTAGCATCCTTGACACGAACTGGGGTCAGGTGAGGACTGCTTTACTGAGGACGTCTGTCGGCGTAGAAAGTATTTGGACAAGGAACAGTTGTCCAAGCACAAAACGTCCAGACTGACAAACGGCAGTGACATTTGGAGTTAGGGGTTTATTTGTGTTTGCTAATTAGATGCTTTTCATCAAGCATTTCTAAATCACATGTTTACATCATCTTGGCGTAATTTGGAACGAGTAATTAGGTACTTTGCTCTCATCACATCTATGTCCTTTCACATTCAGTGTTTGTCTCCTTGTTAATTGACACTTAATTGCAGCATTAAGTGATTATAAATCACAGGGGAAAAATTTCACCGGGAGGCACTCGAAAGGGCAGAATGCAATGTGCGAGGTGGGAACACTCTCGACGAAGGTGAGGAGGCATGTGAGATGGACTTCACAAGGTGTGATACCAAGCCGGTTCCATTGCCCGACTGGCGTGGCACATCGATGTGGTCAGGTTTCCATGGCTACCGACTGGCAGGAGGAAGCCTTGCCGAGGGCAACGAGTACAGAGTCTGATTCCCACTCAGCCAACCGGGAGGAAAAATATCAGCCCTGTGCAAAAACACTGTGGCACGGCAGCCAGATCCTCTCTGTCCCTCTCTCTATCTCTCTTTATCTCCTTATTTACAAGTCTTTGCCTCATATTTGAAAGCACCGAGTCAGGGAGAATTTCAGAAGCATCCGTTTTTTACCAGCTTGTCAAAAGTCAACAGGCTGCATAACGATATTTACCAAAGCAAGACACAAAATATGTATGTAGGCCTATAAATCAAAAGTGAAAATTATATCGGTAACATCTGTACGGACTTTTGTTTTAGATTCTGTTGTAACCTAAGGATTCTCAGGATGACTTTTCATTTTTGCATGCTCTTCCTTTCGTTATCATCCTGGAAAAAGGGGGGACTCCAACCATTAGTCTACGGTAGTTTTTCACTGTGCACGTATGGGGATACTGTCGCTCGGGAAATCCCCCCCCCCCCCCCCCCCCCCCCCCCCCCCCCCCCCGCCAGTGACCCGGATGTGGGGTGTTTAGGAAGGAAGCTGAACCACCAGATTAACCTAAGGGAAGAGATGCCTGTCTTTTCATTTTAAGTGAAGCTAAGCACTTAGTGTTGTGGGTGAAAACGCCCCCGTCCACCACGGCCAGATTCACCGTGGCGACAAGCCCGACCGTGCTGGGCGTGTCCAGCCTCCAGCTCCCAAACCTGGCCCACGAACATTGTTTGCTCACCTGTGTGTTTGTTTAGCACAGCGGCAAGGCCTGACACCACGCCGGGAAAATTAGGCGAAGACGTGGGAGGGGCGGAGTTCCCTTCTGCATCAGGGCCATGGATGTGTTAGGAGGGGGGGCTGGGGGCCTCTTCATTCTACACTGCCATCGTGATGAGTGGTTCGGCCTTCCCTCCCCCTGCTCTCGCCCTAGTTACTCTGTCTGCCCTTTTATCTTAAGTTCTGGCTGATGAAGAAACGCTCCCCCCCCCCCCCCCGAGGGTGTTTGTCCTGCGTGTGTCCATGTGCTGTTGGCCCGAAGCACTGCTATCCGTCTCATTTTCTGTATCCAAAAGCTACAAACACCGTCAGAGAAACAAACTTATCCCTTTGTGATATGCTTTCTCCTGTGAACCAGGAGCCCTGTCTGCGACAAGCTTGTTGGTGTGTGTTTCAGTCAATTATTTGGTCTTGATTCCTGTCCACGCTGCAGGAAGCCTGATCTGTAGGAGAGCAGGCTTGGCTACTCAGCGCCTGCTGGCCCTGTGTGAACCCAGAGCTGGTCCAGATGAAGATTTTCAGTCACAAATCACACAGTTCTCGCCCAGACGGCACAGATTCCATTCGCTTGCCCTGTGGCCTTCCACGACAGCGTTTGCTCATCCAGCTGTGGGAAATCCTCCAATTGGGTCGCTACGTGCTGTGGATGATCTAGGCGTTGTGAATTCGGGGGGGAAAGTCTCTCAGTGTAATATCTGCACGTCCTTGTGCGACACTCAACACAAGAGAAACACAGCTTTCGTGGAAAAGTGCTTGCGAATTAGCTTAGCGAATTTAGTGAAAATTACAATACATTTGAAGTTGGAAAACACTGCGTCATACTGCCCTGGAATTATTATTTCAGGCACACAAACATGTACAATCACACACTATCAATGGCACTTAAAATGCAGAACAGCTAACTACCACTGACATGTGGGGAGTGTATCTTGAGAGTGGCTTAGAGAGCCGCTTAAATAAAACACCCCTCCCCACTTTGTACTAAGCCTTAATATGATGCTGACGGCACCTCCACCTCCTATTTTTTTGTAAACAAACAGGCCCACTGAAACGTGAGTGCGTGTATGTTGGTAGGGGGGCGCTGGGTGAGACCAACGTCACAGCACTCGGGTGTGAATAACGCGATTCAGCTCTGAGGCAGAATAATTAGCTGTCTGGATGAGACCCCCCCTCACACACACACACGCACACTCAACCCCCCTACCAATAACCCTGTTACATGCTGGGTGCTCTCAGTGATCTCAGGGGCTGGGCTGCGAGAGCCATCTTCACCCCACCAAGGCAACCACAGCAGCATCCATAACCTCGGAGTCTCTATGGCAGCAGACAGTGAATGTTCCCTGCTTGCTCAACCCTAACCCTTCTTGCCTCCCCACGAGCGATTGTGCTCCACTGCTGTATCCTGTGAGTGAATTCTTCAGGTGGACGGTCACCCCACGTCTAAGCAGCATAAATTCCCGCACTGGGAGGACTTTCCTATTTCCCCCCTTCCATTATCTCTAAATCCCCAATAATTTATTTGCTGTGTGAAAGAATACTCATATTGGATCTTCCTGGCGTCTGAATGTGTTTAACGATTTTCCAGGGATGCGTTGCGCATAAGTCCTATTGTGTAATGAAAGTGCGAATTCTTCAAGATAAAATATCAGGAACGCAGGATCTATTCATTCACGCATAACAAAAATGCGTAACACTAGAAATGGGGAAGAATTAAAGTCTAAAGCTAAGCCAAATAAAATATGCACCCCTTTAGTGTCTGAGCTGTCGAGCGACAAATAGTTTACGAAGCGATGGAAAAAAGGTGATTTAAATCGCTGGTT